ACCTGTTGGCGCGGCCCCGTGTTTTGCGGCCACAGCCGCCTGTGGAGTGGGGCGGCAGCTGTTTCGGATCCCCTGGTCAGCCTGTTGTACCGATTGCCTTTTCCTCTCTTAAAACTCTTCCCCAAAGCACTGTTTTCTAGCAAATCTCATGCAGCAATGGTTTCCCCCTGCCCCTCATCAGCCAGTTCTCAAAGAAGATCCCCTCGCAGCTCCCCTGCAGAGCTGAAAAGCCTTTTTTTTTTTTTATTTTTCAAAAAAATGAGGCATATCAGTTTTGTCTGCCTGGAAGTTTATTTGAATTTTCACAGGCACAGGGGAGTGGGAGGGGGTCAGACACGTCTACGCTGTCCACCTCATCTCCAGCTCAATGACCCCAAACCCCTCACCCAGCAGCATCCCCGCACCCAACCAAGCCGTGCCACCTCTCCCCAGGCAGGAGCAAGCCCTGCCGCAAAGCCGGGACAGTGCAGGGAGCTGTGGGCACTCCATCCCACGGTCAAACAGATGCCAAGCATCGTCTGGGAGAAGAGAAATCGGTACCTACCCTTCGGCAGCTGGGCTCGCCTGGCCCGGGCGGTGGCTAGTGGGAGGCCGACATGGACCATGCTCCCTCCATCCTCCATACGGAGAAGGCATAACTCAGCCTCTCGTGAGCCACGTAACTGCAGCTCGTCATCTTACTGTCCATCTCGTCGCTCTGTAACACCTGGTAGAGGAAGTCTATATACCGTGCCGCCAGCTTGAGGGTCTGGATTTTACTGAGTTTGTCAGAGGGCAAAGTGGGGATGATTTTCCTCAGGGCGGCAAAAGCTTCATTGAGCGACTGAGTCCTCTGCCTCTCTCTGACATTGGCCAGGATCCTCTGGCTCTGCAGTTCTTCATAAGACTGGGAGCTGGGACTGGACTTTTTCCCCCTCTTCCCTGGGTTGGGGCTGCCATCTTCGCTGGACTTCTTACTGTATCTTCTCTTCCTGCCAAATCTCTTTGGCTGCCTTTCCAGCTCCTCTTCACTGGTCCCCAAGCTATCCACAGGGGAAACAGGAGAACTGGAGCTTTCTTCCATGCTTTCTGCAAGAAGGGGAGGGGAAGAGACCTTTTCCCCCCCTCCTTATGTTATGTGAGTGTGTGTGTGTCTTAAATGTGCTTTAAATTCCTGAGACAGATCCTTTGGAAAAAAACAGGAGGGCTTTTTTTTTTTTTTTTGCTGACCAAACGTTTTCCAGGTTGCTTGAAGGGCTCTTATTTCAAGGACCGGGGTTGTGCAAAAAATTGAGGTCTTGGAGAGAGGAAGTTATTCTAACTTTTTGGAAACTTTAGCTGAGCTCAGTTGCTAAATAGTTGTCAGAAGTGAGGGAGGTGCGGGGCTCCCTCCTGATTGGCCAGCCAGGTCAGTGGGAGGAAAGCTTTTCCCCTGCTAAACTTTCACAGTTTTATGTTACACTTAACTAAAATCTTGGGAATGCACCTCGAATAAAAGATAGCTGGCGACCACCCCCTGCCACCCCCACCCCCACTCCTATAGATGCTGAATTTGCGGCACTCTACCAGGGTAACCCCCCTGTCTAGGGGTTTTTTGGGGTGCTGGTCAGCTTGCAGGCTACCTTCCAGCCCTTGCTGCCTGGTGTCCGACTCCCAGCTCCATGGCCAGGCTGCAGCGGTCCCTTGCCCAAATCGGGGTGCACCAGGAAGGTGCTTCATTTTGCTTTTGCGTTGCGGGGGGGTGGTTGCAAATCCCCTGCTGCCCCTGAGCACCCTGCTCCTTGGACCCTTGCCTTGCAGAGATGAGGTAGGGACCTGCCTCCTGCTGCCATGGGGTGACAGAAGTTCCCTGGGGTGTGAGAAGGGTGGAGGTTTGGGGGAAGCCCCTTCTTGTCCCTGTTTGTTGGGCCATGCAAAAAGGCTCTCCTGGACTAACCCAGCGCAGCCAAAAATACAGGTCATCCAGAATGCAGCTAATAGTTTGTAGAAAACCCCAAGAGAGCTCCTGTGAGGCGATACTGGCCCCACAGCCCGTCTGCCTGACAGTTTTCTCCCCACTTTTTCCCCTTCCGTTCAATACCAACTAACACATTTTAGGGAAGCAAGAGCCAATGTAGATAGAAGGATGCCTGTTACTGAAATTTTGGTATCCCAGGGCACCAAACTTGTGGTAGCAGCCCCAGAGTTTTTGATGTATCTGACAGAAGACAATGGATTTATTTTTCCTCTCCATCACACCAGGGAAAATGTGGGAAAACTCTGCTTGCTTCCATGGAGCTAAGGCAGAGCACAATCAGATTTGGACTTCTGATTTCAGTTACAGCCCAAATTACAGGAACAGATGCATTCCTGAGCAGCAAAGATGATGTTTTTGATATGGAGGAGGAAAATAAAATAAAGCAATAGTAATATAAGTAAATAAGATAAAAGAAACTCAGAATGTAGAGGTTGTATCAGATGAATTAGTTTGGAGTAGATTTCTTTGCATAGTTTTCCAGTAGGTATCAACACTCATTAATGGAAAAAATAATGTCTGGTTTGATTGGAAAGTGTTCCTTGGTAGGAGAAGGAATTTTGGCTTGCCTGGGGCTGACTCTACTACTGGTAGGTAATGTTTATAGTGGAAAGACTTCCCCAGGCAGCCCCTGGGGAGAAGCCTGTGTTTGCTTTCAAAAGGAAAGGTTTTCAGGTGCAGCACAGAAGTCGGAAAGCGAGGCAGTTCTGCAAATAGATTTTTTTTTTTAATCCAATTTAAGACCCTGGCAAGTCAGATAGGACGGGTGGCTCTGCCGTCGCACCCCAAAGCCAGGTTTCCAGAAGGGCTCAGGGCTGGTGGCTGGGACCAAGGGTTGGCAGCTGCTCTGCTTCTGCAACCATGAGTACAGGGGGACTGGGATGGTGTCTGCCAGACCTGCAGACCCGGAGGCAGATACTGCCCTCGGCTGAGTTAGGGCAAGTGACTTTTATACTGGCGAAACATGAGTAACGGCCCCTCTCCTGTCCCGTAAATGAAATAAATTGCTGTCAATAGCTGTGCTGATGTGAAACTGTGCCTCGGAGGGCAAAACACCCCTTGTAAGGGGTATTCAGTCTGTATTTCCATGCAGTAAAAGAAACCATCCCTGAAGACTGGAGTGGCACCTCTGCTTTCCAGCTGCAAAGAGCACAGTTTTCCAAGCAGGCAGGTTCCCTGCTAAGGGCACTGGCTCCTCTGTGTGCTCCCGCTGCATTGACGGTGGTGAGCCGATGTGGATTTGCAGGGATATATGGAGCATGGGAGGGCAGTTGGGCTGTGGGGCTGAGCACCCGATGTGCTGCCCAATGATGCTATAGGTGCCTGCAAAAGGTGGCTTGGGGAATGAGCAGGGCTGTGTTTGAGAGCACCAGGAGCAGATCTGAGCCGGAGGGAGTGAGCAGAGCTGCTTGTTGCTGTCTATCCTCTCCCCTTGCCTTGCCGGTGTTAATGTTTGTTCTGCATCTTCCTTTTGCCCCACCATGACCAGTGAAGGCAGGACTTGATCTCCTGGGGAGTGAGGTATTTCTGTGGGGTGGGACTTGGTCCTTCCAGGGGTTGGAGTCAGAGGGGTTTTGGGGGTCAATTGTGCAGACATATCTCAAAGTGCCCAATTCTCAGGTGGCACAGGCATTTTGCTGTTGTGATAACCACTGGGCTCATCCAATAGAAGTGTGGCAGAAGACACGCAGCTCCCGGGCACCACACTGGCGCGTGATGGTGGCAAAGGGATGCCGCCACATGGCGCGGTCCTATTCCGGCAGAGCAGCTGCTCCTTCTTGTGCTTTTGGCTGTGCCTCTCAGTGCAGATCAGCCCCTTGTTCCTCTGCATGCTGTGGCTATAATAATAAATGAACAACCCCAACCCCCTGCCTGGCATTTGTGAAGGAGCCCAAAGGAGAGTTTGCACGACAAAGCAAGGCAGGATTTCTCCCTGAGGGGACTATTGCTGTAACCTCTTAGTGTGCAAAACTTTTTAGTATCAGGCAGGCTTCATTAGGGGAAATTTATGGTGAAACTTGGCTGTGTCATAATTGCAAAGTCTATAAGCCCAGCTCCAACAAGCATCGCTGCGGAGCTGCTCTGTGTTTGTGTGCACTCTTTATGGCTGCCGAGTCCCCTAGCAGTGCTTAGAGACAGAGCAAAGTACAGCGTTGACAATACTGCAAATATCTTCCCTCGGAGCGGACCAAAGGCATGGTCTATGTGTGCACAGACATGGGTGAAATGTCATCCGGCTCTCTGGAAGGAAGATAATTTGAGAGGTCTGGGAGGGAACCATGTGGTACGAAGGTACCGCTGGCCAAGGAGGACGGGTTGGATGCACCCTTCCCGTGACCACAGCAGGGTGGGAAAGAGGTTATGAAATAAACTGTGATATGAAATATAGTTTTGCTGAAAGTTTAATGCGCTGTTTAAATGTGACATCTATGATACTGCTTTACTGCCATTACCAGGTTCCTAAAATTTCTAAATTAGGGGAAGACAGAGAACACAGACTGGGTGTTACGGCTGTGCTTACTCTTTGTAGGATGCCTGTGGTCCATTTCTCCCCTTGGCAAGGCTTGGCCAGCAAATCACCCTTCAGCCCCTCTTCACTGTGGAGGACAGCATTTGCACTTCCACCTCCTGTCACCCTTCCGGGGAATGGTTGAGTGCCCTGGCAGTAAAGGCAGTAGCATTTTAACGTGCTCAGACTGCTCTTCCAGCTCCTCTCTGCTGGGGGAGCTGTCGGGGACAGAGCTTGGAGCAAACTGAAAGAAGAAAGATGCTGTTGTACTTGCTGCCATCCTCCTCCTCACTACCTACTGCTATAGAGAGAAGCATCATCTCCTTTCAGAAATACCCCTCTTGCAAATTGCATCCAGCATTGAATGGCCTCTACTGTAGCCAGATATAGTTAAGCTGATTTTTTTTCTTCTCTCTTGCCTTCGGTGTGACTTAGGGGATAATTCCTTAATGCTTTAGTGCAGCAGCCGCTAAATGTGATCTGGTGTGTGCATCTTGCACATGCTGTCTTTGCAAAGGCAGTCTTGTTTTGCCTTGCCTTTCTGCCTTGTGGGCTTTGTCTCCTTGTTCCTCGTGTTGCACTGCAGCAGTGGCCAGACGCGGCTGGCGGACGCTTCCCAAAGCGCTGACCCTGCAGTGACAAGTTTATAATCAAAAGCAAAGGAGCAGCGGGTGAGCAGCATAGAGAAGAGGCAGGAGGTAAGGAGAGCGAGACTTTCAGGATAAGACAGTTGGAGCGGAGCGTGGTTTCAAAGTAATTGGATATGCTAACGTTGGAGTTTTGTGCAGGAATGTACATCTGTTTCTGAATGCTCTTCCTTTCTGCTTCCTCAGTTATAAACCCTCAGAAGAGCAGACACAAGAAAAGGAGAGGCTGACCCGGGGACAGCAAGTCCTATTGCTTGCTAATCCTGCCAATAAATGCAGTCAAGGTCAAGGTGTGCTTTTGATTTGCAAAGGCGTTCCTGGGGCAGCTGGGTGAGTTGATGCCTGCCCAATGGGGAGCCAAGTGGCAGCTTCTCCCTGTGTGTGGTTTTGATGGCTCCATCTGGCTTCCTCAGCTCTGAACTTGAGGAGGTGTGAAATATAGGTCTTTTTAGGGAGGACTTCACAAGACAATTCAGAAAAGATTTTCCAAGAGGACATCTTTCTCCTGAGAAAGCCCTGCTGGCCATTTCTCCATCTCCTTTATCCAGGTGGCAGCTCCATCTAAGCTTTGACCAAGCAAAGCATGGGTTGCAAGGGCCATTTTCCCAAAGCTTGCTTTATTTGCTGTATACAACGCCAGGGGAAACAGTCTAGAGTGTAATAATGGTAAATGCAAATCTTAACTACCTTTCAAAAACTGCCATGGTGATTCAGATTATGAAAATGCACTGTAACTCAGATTTTCTAACCCAGGCCCAGATTCTCTGATGCACTGGAAGATGCCTGGGAGAAGAGGTGTGTGAGTCCTGATAACTTCTGCGGGGCATAAACAGGTGTTTAAACTTACATATATGCTAAATACTATCTTGAATTTCTGATCTGAAATGCCACTGAAGTAAGATATCTTCAATGCCTTCAACAGGTTTTGGGTCATGCTTTCAAGCATTAAGTTGTTAGAGGACCTGTTCACATCTCCTGGTCATCCAGGCTCTGTTGTCAATATGACAAGGGTAATGTAGACCAGACAGTTCTGCCTTGAATGTTGGCT